TTCTGCCTTTATTCTGCCTTTATTCTGCCTTTATTCTGCCTTTATTCTGCCTTTATTCTGCCTTTATTCTGCCTCTATTTAGCTCTATTTAGCCTCTATTTAGCCTCTATTTAGCTTAAGAATACCCTGGAGCCACAAAAGGTAGGGAGCAAGGCAAAATAAAGGTAGAGAAAAGGTAGACCAAAGGCAGGACCAGAAGCAAATTCGCTCTGAGGATCCTGCAAATAAAAGGTAAGACATAAGGCAGCCGCAAAACCATGCAGCCAGCAAAGGCAAATAAAAGGTATTCGAGCCAGCAAGGCCAGTGCGAACCCAACCCACACACCGCAGCTAACCCAGGCACCTTAGCAGCTAGCCTTAGCAGTAGCACTTAGCAGACTCAGCAAACATTGTGTTGACACCAGCTTCAAAAAAGAGGTACAGTGCGGCTACAGCGGCTACAGTTCAGTAAATTTGCCCTGCCAAGCGGAATCATTTCATTATTTACAGAGGATATTGCACAGCCGCCACTGACAAGCACAGTAATCAACATCGGATTATCATGAGAGGATGCCTTCCAAGCTGTCATGTGCTCATAGAACTTGCGCTCTGTTTTTTTGAAGAGGAAGCTCCGCAATGGCACTGCTTCCCGCTGGTGCTGCTTCTGCAGGATCTCCTTGCCCCAATCACCCCAAAGTCCCAGCAGTTTACTTCAGGAATGGACAACGAAGAAGGTGCTCAGGCTGGTAAGCAAGGCTACAAAGCGCTCGGGAAAAGCAAACACCCATGAAGCTGACACTGATCAGCATCCTCCAGAACTTGATTGCACAAGCCACAAGCACAGTTCATTGTTTGGGGACTCCTGAATGACCATGGCCCAGGCCCGTGCATCGTTCACCGTGAACATGGACTTGCTCAAATATCCAATGTAGATCCTGGCACAGCGGAGTTAGGCATTAGCTGAGCATGGAACTCTGATTTGGGGCAGTGGTTTCCAAGCATTTGCACAAGGGTGTTGCTTCACGTTCAAGGCACTCTATGCATCTTTGAACTGCATATACGAGACATCAATTTCACCCCGGGCTTCGAGTTGGTGCGGTTTTCGTGATCCTTGTTGGGGTTTGGCGATTGGCATTGGGGTCTGAAAATGTTGTTGCAGGCCGTGTTGTCAAGGTAAACCAGGTAGCTGGAAGGTAGCAGGATGTACTAGGTTACTAGGCTGGAGGATCAGGGCTCCGAGTGTTGCGATTTGGAGTTTGGCTCTGTTTAGGTTTGGGGGTTTGAGGGCTTAGGGAATTAGGGTGTAGGCCTATGTGTAGGGTTTAACGTATAAGCCCTACAAGCTTGGCTCTACTCAAATACCACTCATGACCAAGACTGCACTGGAGATCCCGATCAAGGAAACCTGGTTAGCGATGCAAACTATTTTTTAAAACACAATATTCATAATACAAATAGTAGAATAGAAACAACTATATAACAATATGGAACAACCTGCACAGGACGGTTCTACACCCTGATACTACACTCGCTGTCCTTGCCCGAAACCTTGTGCATCAGGTGAGCAGCAAAGTCTATGTTTCACTAGGGACTGGGGTAACCTTCAAGAGGCTGACAGCACCGGAACTTCCAACCAACTCAAGACCAGAAAAAAAGGACAGCCCTCGGAAGAATCTAGAATCTGGGCCTGACCTGGGGAAGTCTCACAAGTACTTGCCGAGAGCAGCACGAGCAGGCACCGGGACGAGATGACTAGAGTGACTAGAGTGACTATAGAGTCTAGAGTACCAGAGGGACTAGAAAGCCGCTCACAGCTGGCAGCTATAGCTAGCAGCTAGCAGCTAGCAATTCATTGCCAACCCCAAATTCCGAAAGCCTGAAATCGTCCTAGGAGGTTCCAGGACCTAGGACCTAGGGGAGAAGTGTTTCTTATGCGTTTGGGAATTTCCGAAAGGATCGTAGTGTGTGCTCGGGACAACTTTTCTGCGAGCCTGCCCTAAACCCTCAACTTGTCAACCCTAAACTCTAAACTCCGAAACCCCGGCCCAAAGCGTGCACCGAACCGCTGCAGCCCTGGAGCGAAATCTGCGGGAGAACCACTTTTTTACGGACGGGCGAAGTCCGGTTCCTCCGGCTCACCTTCTTTGCGTTGCCTTTCGTACTTCTGTGCGAAATCCAATCCTCCAGGTAAAGCCTGGAAATACTCACGTGCCCTTTCCCGCTGGGCCCGCTCCTCATGCGCTGTGCTCTCTTTGATGTGCTTCTTGGCACTGTCGTGGAAATGCTGTTCCTGCAACCACAAAGTAAGATATCCGACTGGGCGGCCCTGGCCTCTCTGATGTCCTTCCAGACACGTTCGTTGTTTGCGGCATTCTTGATCAGTATGCTTGTCGCAGAGGCAGTGCGCCGTGAGCGTTTTCTTCTTGTCGTTGTATCTCAAGCTGCCGAAACCAGGGATGTGAAATACATCCTCTTTTGTTGTTTTTTTCACAGCCTTATACGGGCGAACCAAGCCTTCAGGAGCACCTCCTTCGGCTGCAGCCGCCGCTCCATCTCCATCATCGGCAGACACGGCTGCTGCAGCAGCAGCAGAACCGGCAGCTTCGGACTCGTGTGAGTCCGGCCTCTGCTTCTCTTGCTCTTGCCGAGACTCTTGCGGCAACCCCACCGATTCAGCAAAGTCGGCCAGAAGCTCCCATTCGGCCTGCTCAGAGTGTTCTGATTCGTTTGCGGACTCGTTGTGCTGGTTCTCAAAATCAACATGATCCTCATCTTGAGCGACATCGTCGTCCCTCGAAGCTGCTGGTTCATCGGGTTGAAGTCCGCCAGCCACGGCATCGTCTGATGTCCGCCGCCGCTTCCCTGCCCTGTCGCTGCGTGTAGCCCCTCCAGTCACTCCAGTCCTGGACCGTTTTTTCTTTTGCTCCGCTGCCGCTGCTGCAAAGGCCTGCTCGGAAGAATGGCCTCTCCAGACACGAAACCCTGGAATCACATCCTCCTCGACTGCACGAACCCAGACTCTGTCGGGGACCATGGTGTCCACTTCCACATCTGTAACGATCTCATACCATTCCACACTGTACTGGCACTTGAAATCCAATGTTTCAGAAAAGAACTCGTGCGATGCCCGGACAGAAAGTGGATCCCGAAGTCGAAGATGCAGCCTGACACCACCGTCTGCGACATAGAGAGTTTCTATGTGCTCCATTCGGAGAAGACTGAAGTTGAAGGAAGCAAAGTTCATGTAACTGATGATGAACCACTCCTGCTGTGGCAACTCCGTTTCATCTGTAGCTATGTCTCCGATGCCTCCTACAATCTCACCGTCTCCGAGGCCTGCCAGAATTTCTCCAGTGACTGTGATGCTGTCGTAGGCTGTCGGCCTCGGGACAAGCCTGCAGCACAGAGCAGTCGACTCCAGAAGCCGTCGGGCCGGCCTCTTGGGCTTTTTCGGTGCGGGTGGCATTCCCGGCTTGGCTCTGCGAACACGCTCTGTCACCACATGAGGCTTCACGAGGCTCACGAAGTTCAAGTGGAACAAATGTGCATCCCTGCCAGTGCCCTCACACGTGCAAAAGCCAAGGTTGCAACAGGCACCCGGTGTGAAATCTCCAGGTGCCACCTTCGGGCAGTCGGGTATTGAATCGTGGCAGATAACCGCATGCTTCTGCTTCCAAGCAGACCTGAGCTCCGTGAAGAGGTTATACCTCCTGCCCAGCATTTGCGAAACATTCTCCTTGAGCGCGGCCTAACAGGCTGGCAGGGCACGGGTTGGCCACCGACCATGTTTTCATAGTTACCTATAGTAACATAGTATAGGCCTATGATATCCTATAGTATTTTTATACGCTCGCCAGTCACCAGTCACTAGTCATAAGCCACACTTACCCGCCTTAGCATGCCCTTGGGCCTAAGCCTAAATCGAATCATAGTCATAGTCACAGTCACAGTCGTAATCATAATCATAGTCATAGCAGCACTGGCATTTACTGTCTGTTCAAGAGCAACACGGGGAACCGATGACGAAGTTCATGCCTTCAACAAACAGAGCCAAAGCTGAACCTTTCCAAGCTGTCGCTCCAAAAAGTAACCAAGTAATCCCAAGCATACATGCACAAACCCGACAAGACCATCCAGACTCCGAATGAAAGCCTTCTCCGATAAGCCCCCAAGTGGCCTGGTTCATGATCTCGACAAACGAGAAATGAACCCTGGAAGGAAAGCAGGTTTACGGCCTGAAACGGTCCAAACAACAAGCACAAGACATGAAGCCTCAGAAGCGACTCGGCGACAGCTATGACTATGACTATGAAAAGTAGATTTGCCAGCGCTTTGAATAAAATGAAATATATTTCAGGAAACTGCATCGGATGAAGGATGGCCTCAATCTATAGATTTGGCTACACACGGCTAGCGGCTGGAGATAATCTCTCAGGAGGTTTTGGTGAGTGTAAAGCGTCGTGATTCGACGAACAACAGTTTCTACACTGATTCTACAATTCTACAATGCTACTTTCACTGACATTCCATTCAAACTGCAAGACGGAATCGGACGAGACGGCAGATTCTTGAAGGCCTGCAGCAGCTCCAACACTCCAGGGCAAGTGCTGCTAGGATAGGATTGATAGACCTGCCTAGGGCCTAGCTCGCTGGCGATTGCAACAATTGAAAGTCTCACGTAAAGACGACAAGAACACACACACACAGACTCTCAAGCTGCGGTATGACTGAAATAACTTCGCTGCGAAGTCCTACAGCGCAAGTACCAGTAGACTGTAGACCCTGTAGTAGACTCACTGTAGACACTGTAATAAGTAGTATTCTAGATTCTAGACTTAGAATAGAATCAATAGAAGATTTACAAGACTCTAGAATCTAGAATCTAGAATTCTACAGTAGCGATAGTACCAAAACAAGTACGAGTACTACACTACAGTCACTACAGTCACTACGGTATCCTCCAGGTTAGTGAAAAAAGGCTAGGCGGCTAGGCCCTACCTAGGCAGAAATCTTTGCACAAATCAGGCCTGGGCAACTTCTGCAGCAGCTCCGTTCCAGGACACAGACGGAAAGACATCAGCAGCAAATGCATAACGCTCTTCCGGCCAGAACTTCGGCATGATAGCAGCAAGCCTCTGGAGACTCTCGTCCTCTGCCACGTGCATGGACAAGGCTGCTTGAAGCTGCAGCTCCGAAGAAGCCTCACGAAGCACCATCTCCTTTTGAGCACTCTTGGTTTCTTGAACAACTGCACAGACTGCAGAAACAGCCAGATCCTGAGCAGCAGGAAGAGCAGCGAGTGCCATGCCAGGAGGGTCGACTGCTTCGGCCGGCCCATGCAACCCAAAAGATGGATTGCCAGCTCGGTGGCTCAGGGTACCGAACCAGCCCAAGCGTGCAAACTCCTGATTTTCTGCTCTCGAAAGGTGTCTAAGTTCCTGGTGCAGCTGCCTCATGACAGTTCGTTGTTCCGCATACCCACTGAATTTTCGTCCTCGAAGCCGGGCACGGAAAAAGGCTCTTTGACGGCCACCACCACCTGTTCTCTTTGGCTTCTTCTTTTTCTTTTGTTCAAGCTGCTTTCTCTTCTTCCTTTTCTGTCTGATTGAAAGGATCCCGTGCATCTCTCGCTGATGCTGCAAGATCCCCAAAGTCTCAGCCATTTCTGTCATTTTGGCATCCATCTGCCGACACAGATAGTCAGCTGAAAGCACCTCAACACCCACTTGCTTACTCGTCGAACGAGCCATCAGAATTCGACGGACAGCTGCATGCCTGCACTCTATCGTGGAAATGTCCACATCGGCAAGCAATGCGATGCCATGCAGCTGATGCAAAGCTTTCTTCGATGTCATTCTTGCACTCTTCGGATAACGCTGAAGAAATTCATGGGTGAATGCATCCCGCATGCAGAGAGGCAGCTTCTCCAATCTGCCAGCAACGTCAGACCGCGACACAGGATCCAAGAGGCCAAAGACAAGATAAGGGCATTTGTCATGCTGCCTTCTCAGAAACCAGTGTATGGCTCCCGCAGCCCGGGCGAAAAGCTTGAATGCCAAGACACGGTTCTGCATGTTGCGACTCTGCACTGGCAAAGCTGCTATCTCCTGACGGAAGCGAACTTGCAAAGACACCAATGCTTCCAAGATATCTCGTCCCAGGAAAATCTCTGTCAGGCGGTAGGAGCGGCTTCCCGTGGACGCCATTTTCCGCTGCTGCTGCAGGTCCCACTTGCTCTTGGCTCTCGCAAGGAATCTCTGCAAAAGGGTGACAATGACCGTCATTGCAGAACGCATGAGTGACAGCACATGCACATCCGCCGTTTCAGCCCAACTCCGAAGTTTCTTCTTGAACGAACGGTTGAGTGTGGCCCAGTCCAAGGAAGCACCGGCAGCCATGTCTGCTGCCGAGACTTGGGGAGCAGCCTCAACTGCAACAACCTGGGTCATAGATGGGAAACCAAAATACCCAAAACAGGATGCCAGGAAACCTTCAAAGCTGTCGCAAAAAATAGTGACTACAGCGACGACAGTTACTATAGACTGTAGTGACCATAGATTCTATAGATTCCGAGATTCCTAGATTCCTTCACTCCGAAAAAACTGTTACTTAGAAGCTGCAAACCATTAAACTGTCTTGCACCTTGGACATAGCAGAAGTAGCTAAGTAGCAGCAAGCTGGCATGGCCAACAGGGACAATATCGTGCTAAGCATGAACAGTCAAATCAGTAAAATTTGTAATTGGTAAAACTGAGCAAGACCAACCGGTCATGTACAAGCAACAAAACACAGCAAACACGACAAAGACAGGCTTGAAAGGAGCCGGCTCCTCTGCGTCGGCATTCTCAGCCTCGTCAGCTTGTGGGTACTCGGCGACGAGATTTTCGACAGCACCATCCCAACCAGATGCTTGCAGCAAGGTCTGCCAGCTTGACACGGGTGGTGCCGACACAACATCCTTTGTCAGCTTGAGAAGAACTCGTTGCAGAAGGCCATGGTGTGCAGCCAGCAAGCCCAAACCATCAATACAGAGCTCACCGCCGAACCAACGGTGTCTAGGAAAGACCCTGATGGGGCCAGGAAGCAGGGCAGGCACAATGTGCCGCCTGACAATGTGCATGGCTGTTTCTCGATCCATCGGAACACCTTTCGTAAAAAAGAAAACATTCTCGGTGTCCTGAAGGTTGCCGCATATGAAGCGGTCGAGTATGGCACGTTGCACAGCACGCTTCTGACGCCATGCGGAAATCGTATCTTCGCCAGAAAGATTGAGACTCAAATATGTATCATACACTTGCACTCTGTATGACTGCACATCGCCCCCGGGAGCATCCCCATCGCAGAGTACGAGCATGCTGCAAATCTCGTCACCAAGCAGCTTGCGCAGGGCCCTGTAACCACTCAGCTGACCGATGACAAGTCCTGCAGCCACCATCGCGGACACATGCTCTTCAACAACATGGAGCATCCAGGTGCTAGAACCACTGGCCATGTGCACAAGGCACGGAAGACGAAGCGGAGTTTCCCCGACCCGTTTGGATGTGATGGCTCTCTCTGCCGCTCCGTTGGCCGAGTACCTGTCTGCACTAGCAACACTGACCTGAAAACAGCCAGAAGGCATGACAATGCTACCGTCGGAAACCTCTGCCAGTATGTCCAGCTGTGCTTTGCTGATGTCCTTGGCAGTTGTTCTTTCCAGAATCTGCAGCTGTGTTGGTACCCAGCCATGAACAAAAATCATCTTCCCAAATTCTTGGTGATCCGGGTCTGTCACCTCGTAAAGCCAGCCAACCTTCAATCGTGTTTGAAGGATTTTGGCAATGGATCCCACTCCTGAGGAAGCCGAGCCCTGAGCCTGAGATACATTAACTTTCAGCGGCGTCTCGTCGTAAGTGCGACTTGTCAAAGAAAGCAAGCATTTCACAATTTTCTCCTGTTCAAGCTGCTGCATACGGTGCAACCACATGTTCCATGCTTGAGTGGACGCGAGCTGGACCGCCGAAGCCACTTCCAGAAGTTTGTTCCGGAGAGAATCTTTCGAGATCGACAGCTTCTCGGCTTCAGCAACCAATGCTGTTTGAGGCCTAGTTCCATAACTGAACAGCAGCCTCTCTGTGACTGTCTCGACGACCTCTGCAGACATGGGTTTGCAGCTATCTTCATCAAGCAAATCAAGCTTCCCTCGTGTTGAGGCCTCATCCCCAACTCCACTCAGTGCAGCAGCTGACTTCTCCGTGCGCCAGCCAAAATGCTTAGCTGCAAGCAGTGCGACTTTTTGCCGAAGATGTGTCCCTACTGACATAATGGCTTGAATGGTGCTGCTTGCGGTATCGGAAGCAGCAGAGCATCCCTGTGCAGCACCACGCTGCAGAGCTCTGACAATGGCATGTTGCTGGCCACGGCCTTGCTGCACTGCCCGCCTTTCGCCTTGCTCCGGGCTCTCCAGAGACACCTCACGCAGAGCAGCCCTAAAGACTTTGCTGCCAAACCTGTTTGTCCTGTTTCCAATGCGACGAGACTTTCTCGAGTTCCACGGAGCATCTGCTTCATCAACCACTTCACCGGCCTCAGCAGGTGCCTCGGCTTCTGATGCCCCGGGCTGCTGATTTGCATCCAGCCTCCCTCTCAAGAGATCCGCTGCACATGAGTCCCATCCAGCCATCGAAGAGATCGCAAAAGCAGTAATCGTCACTCATGAGTAATGACTCCATGTGCTGCGCCGAGTACAATATGTCCAAGCAACCCTACACTGCCCTACACTGGTTGTTCATTATTCAATATTCGAATCCAAAGACTGCATAAAACTCTGCAACCAGGATGTGTATATAGTATATAGCGAGATGAGCAGCGAGAAGCAATTAGATATGAATGTAATGCATAGGCATAGAACCTACATCCAGCAACTACAGTAATTAGACTCTCTATTTGTTGCAGCTGCACTGTAGCTGACTACGCTGTAGCCTGGCAATCTTGGAATGAAAAAATACTGGGCCTGATCTACGATGTGGGCTGGCCCCAATCTAGAATGTGTACTAAGAGCCCCAAGCCAAAAGGAGGCAGCTCCCATCGAAGCGAGTATGCGACAGCACTGCAGTCTACTAGAGTTACTAGAGTCACTAGACTTCACTAGACTCACCAGAACACCGACAACCTACAACCCAGCGAGCGGAGCTTGTCAACACAGCCTTCCTGTCCGAGTCACTAGTCAGTCACTAGTCACTAGTCTTGATGACACACAAGAGCTCCAATATTCAAACAAGGCAGTCCTGGGTCGTGAAACCTGTGTCCATATGCGGTTGTCCAGCCGACAATCGATGATGTGGTAGCCGATATTGGCCAACTTCTCACAGAACCTGGCATGCCAGAAATGGGCACTGGTAGCGATCAGCAGCAATTGGTAATTAGTAATTAGTAAAGCTACACATTTTGGATTCCTGGACTTTAGGTGGTGTCGAGGTCTGGGTTTGAGTCGACTCTACCTCTACAACAATGTGTTATGCGTTTGAAATAAGAAGCACCACCCTCCACCTCCGGGCATGATAAAGACAAAACCCAAGTATAAGTAGCTTTGCACACCCCAGCTGACAATGGTCAGTAGTAACCAGTAACCGTTCACCGTCCAACATCACTTGGACTGCGGGAACACGGAATTGAATTGGGCAACGCGTGAAACCTTCAAGTGCATGCATGCCAATCTCCCTTCGGTCCAAAGGCACTGCAAGTAGTCCGAAACCCAGGCCTTCGCATGGGCGTCGATGTGTCAGATGCATCTTCCGGCATGTCCCACCCTTCAACATTCTCAGCAATACCTGCAAGTGGCCGCTGAGCCTCAAGCCATTCAAGCAGATCCTTTGCTGTCAACTGATTGTCAGGATGCGCTTGCACTGAGCCTCGCGTGTGCCGGCCGGGTCGCAAACAACTGTACGCTTTGCAGCTAGCACCAGTCACCGCAAATGTCGGAGAAGGCATGTGGCAGGAATGAGTGCGACACCCTTCGTGGTACATGCAAGGGTCGTCGGAGCACTGCTCCTGCATCGTGCGAAACACATGATTCACCTGTTCCTGTGTGAAGTTCGCCGCAATGAACTCCCTGCAGCTGTCACTGGTCTCTGAAATGGACTGGAAGCGAAATGGCAGATCCAAAGCCTCCAGGGGCCAAGGATGTGATCGTAACAACATGAGAAAACAGCACCATGACCCTGGCCGGTGTTCCGGATCCCCCCGAGCACCGAAGCCGACAGTTTCGCTGAACCCTTTGTCTTCTCCGTTGTCTGGCTCTCTGGACTCTACAGACTCTACAGAGTGCCACTCGTGATGTATCCCAGAATCTAGAATATGGTTTTGACAGACGGGGCATGCCCAGCAGGGATCCACAAGTTTACGGGTCCTAGGTCCTAGTTGGTGGATAGTGTGATAGGAAAGGAGTCTGCAGCTGACAGACCGAGACGGTCACGGTGGCATCCAGGAGAACCTCGGACAAGAACGGATGCTGTCGTGGAGCCTAGCAGCCTAGCAAATTGCAAACGACATCGAAGTGCTAGGTTTGGAGCTGTGTTTTTGGGTTGGCTTGAATTCCAAACCCTTTAAATCTCAGAATTTAAGTTTAAGGGCCCGGGGTTTACAGGGTTTGTGGCAGGTGGCTTCAGAGCTCTGTGTCCGAGGCTGAGGGCTTAGGGCACAGGGAATGAACTTCACAGGTTCACCTTGTTTCGGAATACGGTAATTCAAAAGTACTAAAACAAAGTTACAATTACAAGAGTCACTAGGTCCTAAGGTTACTACTAGAGTACTAGAGTTACTAGATAGAATCTAGAACCAGAGTAAGTAACTAGAGTACAAGAGTCACAAGGGTTACTTCAGTTTACGGACTCAATAGACTCAATAGAGTTGCTGCAAGCCCTGGCTCCATTGCCGCAAATGGCGGTTGTGCAACTTCACAAAGAAAGCGATACTCCATCGATGTGTCTGATTGTGTCACAATGTCAGAAGTAATTTTTCGATGATTTAAATTTATTGAACTGATGAAGCCATGCTCTGAAGCTGAAGCTCAGGCCCAAACACACTCGGCATCATTTCAGCCTGCAGCTCATGTCTGCTATTCTGGAACATAATCGCACTGACTGATTGGCAGAAGCCGGAATGGCATGCCAACCCATTTCTTACCAAGGACCAAAAAACGAAGCAATGCTTGCACACGGAACATTGGAATGAGAACATCTGACTTCGAACTTAGGACCTAGGACCTAGGATCATAGGACAGACTCGGATAGATTCGGATCGAGAGACTAACCGTAGTGACTAACCCGCAGTAACCGCCGACTAAGCTAGGACCTAGGACCTAAGAACCTAGTAGTGTCTAAGTGATAGTGACTGACAGTACCTGATAGAGACTCTGATATTGATAGTGATAAGTGTGACTTAGTAACTTAGTAGTTAGTTAGTAAGTAGTAAGTAGTAATTGACTAAGTGACTAAGCCCGTGACTAAGCGACGTAGCTATGTCTCTGTCCTGTGTCAAGGTTTGGCACAGTTTGGGACAAGCGGGTAACTTCGACTGCCACTCATGCCGCTCTGCTGTTGGATTCCGCCAACGGGCAAGCACTCCGAGGAAGCGGCCCATCGCTGTCCAGAAGAAATCTTTCCACCCTCAGGTGTCGGCTATGATCACGTGTCACCACACAAGCTTTGGTGCTACGACCGTTGCACCGATGAGTCCCCATCCCACATGTTGGGCATGAAGTGCTGCACGACATGGATGTTGTTATCTAGAATCTAGAATCCAGCATCTGGGACCTAGGACCCTGGGAGCTAGCGGACCTAGTAATGTAATGATCTAACAGCATCTAAGACTCTAAGAATCCGACAGAATCGAACAATGTATGCCCACAATCTGGATAGCCGCTAGCCGCATCAGCAAATGAGTCAATTCCATTCTGGAGATTCTGGACTCTCTGGGGGTCAGGTGTCAGGGCCCAAGCACCTTACAGAAGCACCTAAACTTGACCTAAACCCCAAGCCTACAATCCTACAACTCGGGATCCCACAAGATCGAGGAGGGATGAGCACCAGTCACCGGCCTCGAGATCAAGAGAGCATCAATGTGTCGATTATCCACATGTGTTCCATGCACAAGCATAGCAGAAACATCGGCAACGGCAGAGCCCCGAGAACTGAGCATCGGGAACACAGAAGGAATCCCCACTCCGAGCAGGGACATGGATGGGCAACAGTCAAGGTCGCGGCCGTTCTGGAACCTGCCCCATCACAAGACCTGCCAGCAAAGCAATGGCTGTTCAGAATGTCTCGGCCCGGGAAAAGAAGAAGCCACACACGCATGGTGCACGATCAATCGAAACCAGCATTAGTGGAAGGACCCTCTTTGAAGCAAAACCATACCCCCAAGCCCGAGAATGACCCAAAGAGCGGTGCTGCAGCCAATGCCAAGCCCACGACCAGGGCCCAATGCCGGATACGACGGGAACCTGGGCCAGTATAGAATGAGGCTTCGTGAGAATGTTAGAAACACAACAAGAGTACATGTTCGATGTGAGCAGACTGGAAAAGAGCAGCAGGAATGCAGCCCAACACAGAAGCGGGAATCTAAATTCTAAATCTAAACGCATGCCGTGCCGAGGTCGCCACCTCAGCGCTGGCCCAGGGGCCCGCACGACCTGAGGACATCGGGTTCGGTGTCTCGCAAGAAACCCAAGCCGAGGAAGCCCCCAACCAACAAAGTAACCGAAGCCCCTACACCGACCGGGTCATCCAAGCCCTACACTGGCCTACACTACACCCCCGGCCCGAAGCTGACACGAAGCCTTCCAAAGTGTGGGACACAGGGAAAAAGGTCGCGAGTGTAAGAGGAGAGACCCCACTTTTGCCACATGAACTCCTCGGTGAACTGGCTGTGCTCCACCCCTTCCGAGAATGGTCCGAGAATTCTAGGATTCTAGGTTATGCCGGCCTATGCCTGGTCAGTGCCTCAAGTAATGAACCCGAGCACAGCCGGTTCGGTGCACATCGCACACGACGGTGAAACATGGAGCGGAGCTGTTTGCTGCATGGCAGTGCTGTGCTGTGCTGCGATGTTCTTTGTATGCTGTGTATGTGTGTGTGTGCGCGCACACATACTGCTTTTGCTGGTATGCTCCCGAGTGAACTTCAGAGCTACTCAGCTACTCAGCTACTGCGACGGTCGGCCTCCACTGCCTCCACCGTAGCCATAGCCGTAGCCGTCTCAGGCACTTCTTTGACTGACACTGCCACGCCCACCACTTCATAGCGGAAACCCCGAGCGCATCCTGTAGATTTCAACTCCTGAAGCATGCCTTGGTCAGGGCATGCACAAGCATAAGCCTAAGCCTAAGGCCTAAGCCTAAGCTCCACCAACAGCAAAACATGTATTCAAAACTATGATGAGCCCAGGTACTGTCCACGCTGCTGTTCAGATCTATGTCCATCGTGCAAATCCACCTGTCCTCGTGGAGCTGAGCGACTTCCACCGCACCAGGCTTAACAGGTGCTCCATCACCCACCCTTGCCCAGGACGGTCTCTGCGGAGGAACATCCCACTGCGACGCCTGCACCTCGGCCTCATTCGTCGACCCACTTGCCGCGCTTGCCTCCGCCGCATTCTTCGACCCACTTGCCGCACTTGCCTCGGCCACATTCTGCGACGCCTGCATGTTATGGCGGCTGGTCTTCGGCGAAGGCTCCTCCATGACCCCTGGCCTTTTCATGATGACTCCTAGGGTCCTAGACTCTAGACTCGGACCTGGACTCGAGCACATCATGCCGCCGAATAATTCTCAGGATCACTCAATCAGCTGCGGCAATTAAGTTCTTAAGGAAGCTTTCTCTGGCTTTTTGTGTTGAGAAGACCCTACAAGGCCCAACAATCTCCAATCTACAATGTATACGTATATGTGTAGGCATCTAGTTATCTAGTTAATCTAGTTTAACTGATTAGAATCGAATGATTGGTGATTGCAAAAAGTCTCGTGGGTTTGAGCTGCTGGGGTTTTGGGGATTCGGGGCTAAGGATTGAGTGTCCAGTTGTTCAGGTCCGACATCACGAAGCCCAGAAACCTGGAAGCCTTCTGTCCCTGCGGCCAAAGCCCTGAAAAACCCTGGCCCCAAAGCACCTGGACCCCAAATGGATTAGTTGTTCAAAGAGGTTGGAGTAATTGAGGAGCCATGATAGCAGATAGCAGAGGGGTGCCTGAGAAAGTGACTGACTAACAATAGGTCAGTAGGGTTTCGACGACCCGCTCGAAATTCTGGCCTTATGGCCAGAGAGGATTACACCGGGTTTCGTTCCAGAGGGGTTTACAAACTGAAGCCTGATGTTACTGACGATATTTTCAGCAATGTAGCTAATTTGGCTATGCTATTGAACCTGCTCAAAATATATATATATATATATGTACACATACCAATGGTAGCTATCGAAGCCAATCAACTAAATCGAATCCAGCACGAAACCAATCGAGGATGACTCCCCGATAGCCTTAATTCACCTCAAGCCCGAAAGCTCCTACCAACCGCCCTCCAAGAAACCCAAACCTCAGACAGCTTAAGTGAAGCGATCCATGTCTAGTCATCCATAATCAAACACTCCAAACAAACTCTGAAACCCCTGGAAGCCCTAGAATCCCTAGAGGCCCTAGAATCTCTAGAATCTATTGAATCTATTGAACAGAACCCTCCAAACTAAAACCTAAAACCTAAAACTACCTAAAATCCTAAAAAACCGTAAAAACCTAAAATTACCTAAAAGACCCAAAACGCTTGGCCCATGGCTCGGCTGGAATCCGCTGGTCGTGGCAACGCCCGAGGGCCCACATCAGCACCTGCTGCAGGAGTTAACAGTTAGCGATGTCAGGCTTCAACAGTTTTGGGATGTGAAGTAAGTAGCTGCTAGGTCTGCTAGGTAAGATGATCCAGATCACGATGCAGGGGATGATGCGCAAACAAAGGTATGGCATCAGGTACGGCATGGTTTCCTTGCCCCGGTGCAATGTACGACATGAAATTTCCGGATAAGTGGCCGCTGGTGCAACGCTCCGGGTCCTTATAGGTCCTTAGGGCCTTAGGGTTTAGGGGTTTTGTGTTTGGGCTTCGGGATCCCGTGCTTGCCACCGGCTGCCACTGTCACACATTGATGACCTCATCTGGCTCGTTGAGGGCGGCTTCTGGGTTTGGCCGGGGTTTAGGAGCTTAGGGCTTGGTTTAAGTGTGTGCAATTGGTGAATGAATATAATACTCAACAGAACTTGTTTACAGATGTCGCTACATTTTGGAATCTTGGGAACATTTTCGCGCTAGCCGCGGCTGACTAAGACTTAGACCTTAACCCAGGGTACTCCCACACATGGAACAGCCCAAGTTCACGGCCTTCGTCCCACAGGAATTGCATCGACGCACCTGGGATGACCAGTTGCTCACGGGATGTAAGACCGGATTCATGCTTAGAGGACTAGAGTCTTAAAGTTAAAGCAACGGCGGCCCCAGGAGCAGCGGCACAAACACAGACAAACCGACATTTGCACGAAGAAAAGTAAGGAGAGTGTCGCTTATCAGACATATCACGCTCCAAGGCGAAGGCCTGCACCTCGTTCACGAACATCTCTGCAGCCGACTCCTCCTCTGCGCCCGACCTGAGGTGTTAGGATTTTGGGATTTTGAGCGTGTTCCGTGCCATGCGAAAGCGCAGCAGAGAAAACAACGGAAGCCAAGGACCGCACCCACTTGCATCCACCGCCCCAGGAAAAGTGAACGGAGCAGGCTTGTACGGCGGTCTCTCTCTCTCTCTCTCTCTCTCTCTCTCTCTCTTCTCTCTCAGGTAGTTACCAGGGTTACCCGTTTTGTCAAGTATAGGAAGTATAGAGCATGGAGATATTATAGACTCAGGGTTTGTTGTCAGCGATTTGGCTTCGACGTTTGATTGCTAGGCTGCTAAGTATTTTAGAATTTAGGTCCGACGTCCCGGGTTTGAAATCTTTATGCGAGCATCGAACTAGTTTAGGTAGTTAGTTTAGATTCTAGATTTACAGAACTCAGGTTTAGTTAAGCTGAAGAGGATTGTAGCGGTTCGCGCCGCTAGGTTCAGGCAGCTGAGTGAGTAACAGTGACTAACACTGGTTTGGGCTTACTACAAAATGGTTGACTAAAGTGCTTAAAGTGATCGAGTCGCCCTCCAGCATGCCGTGCGAAACATTCGCAGTGTCACTAGAGTCAATCGAACACACATTTCGATGATTCGGAAGCATGCAGCTTGCTTGCACCACAAGGCAGCCTGCCCGAAACTATTCTATACTATTCTATTTTATACTCTATGACCCCATGGCAATGATATCTGTAAGCTTTGGGCCTAAACAAAACCAAATCGACCTGGCCCTAACCTGCCCGAAACGGGCGGCATCAACCACTACACTGTCACTACACTGCACCCCTCGCCCGAACCGGGCGGCCAAAGCCCTGAACCGCCCAAACCCTAGCCCAACCTCTGTAATATTGTACAAGGACATTAGGAATCATTAGGACTAGGACTAGTGACTAGGCCGTGACTAGGTGACTAGGCCTAGGCAATCATTAGGCCCATTTAAGCCCAGGCCTGGAGCACGAATGCTTCTGCGAGCATGCCACTGCAACCAGACACGATCGTCATTGGCCCTGTCGCTGGCGACTCGTGAGTACGTAGGTGAGCAGTGCTGTCCTTCAAAAGCTCAACCCACCAAGGACTTTGATCGCCAGATCCACTTCCACTGCCGCTCCAGCATCCATTGCTGCCACTCCCAAATTCAGGCTGAGCCGGCTCACAGTCCGAACCTCCGTCACTTAGCCGAGCGGCTTCTGCAGCCTCCACGGAATCTGCACTTTTTTGGGACAGTTCGAGGAAATCTTCATCCAGGTCACACCACCCCATGGCACACACAGCTTCCGCAAAACAATGCCTACGGCGTAGCCTACGGCCTACGTCCCATGTCCTGGTCCCACATGCTGCCCTCGGCCGATACCTACCAGGGTTACCAGGCTCACCAGACCCCGTGTTCTGTGAGGTGCTGACTGCTGCTGAAAGTGTGTGACTTCGCACTGTCTCGAAAAAACAGCTGCCCATCAATCCCGTGATGACGAAGGACTAAACTAAACATAAAATCATGCATTGCAAATGCGCAAATAAATACGAGACCGGAAAGCTTTCTTTGATGGGTTTAAAATTTTCGTTGTTTAGCTAGTTTAGCGCAGTTAGTGCCGATTTTGCCTCCGATCGTGGATAGTTGCTGATAAGGACTGATCGTATGTGATACTGATCTGATACTGATTGATAGTGCTGATAGGTGCTGATAAAAACAGTCACAGCGGCCCTCTTGTGCCTGTGGGCTTGAGTCCAAAACTGGAAGCCAAGAAATCGCACTTGCGCACATGCAGAGTCCAGCTTCTTCACTCCAGGCCAGCACGAACACCCGAAACTCAAGGCCAAGGGGCCCGCAAACCCTAACCTTGCTGAGCCTGCTAGGCCTGCTTTGTAGGCACCCCTTCCACACTGTTTCCGATTGTAAATCGGAGTTGATTTTTGTGCTGCACACAATTTTCATCTATGATTGATAGTACCTTGGTCATTAGTCATAGTCATAGTCATAGTCACGGTAAATGACCACTCCTGCCCGCTCCACCGAACTGTAACTAGCAGCTAGTTGCTAGCTGCTAGCTTTCGCGAGTCATGACAATGCGGTGTGGGGCGAATATCATGTTATCATGGAATGCATCACACGAATTCATAAGACTGTCATAAGACTTAACAAAGGACCTATGCCCCCAAAACAAACACCAACTTGACAAAACCAAACAATTTACACTCGACTCGCAACATCTTCACGTCTCTATGCCCGAATGCACAGATGACTGTTTCATGTCCTTGTGCACAAATGACTATTTCCAGGATGCCCGATCAATCCGATCACAATTTCCGAAATATCCGATCACTGATGGTTTTTTCCTATTTGCGGGATGTCCGCTCACTATGTTATGTGCGGGACACACGGTCACCATTTCCAGGACACTCTATCTCTGTTTCCGGGACATACGACCACTACTCACTATTCACTATCACTATTCACTATTCAAACTATTCTCATAAGCCAGATATTCAGAAACCTCATTAAGGACCTAATAAAATTGTATAGAATAGTAAATAGAATAGAATTGAATTGAATAGAATTTGGATAGAATCTGAATTGAATTGAATATAATCGAACTGAATTAAAGAGAATGTGAATATTCTTGAGTATGGCTTGGTAACCTGCCTTTTCTGTTGCCTTTATGTTGCCTTTGTTGTTGCTTTTATTTCGCGTTTGACGTTGTCTTGATTTTGCCTTTGCCGAATCGACCCGATCTGCCTTTCTCCTGCCTTTACCTTTCCCATTTGCCTTACCGGTTACCTTTATTCTGCCTTAAATTCAAAAATTGCAAACCCCCCCCTGTGTAGAAGAAAATCTTGTTAACCCTAATGTAGTACCCTAAATAGCAGGATCCTTATTATAAGGATCCCAAAATTCGGTACCTCTAATTTTCGGAAACTCTAAACCCTTATAAAGCCCTTTAAGGAACCCTTATAGTACCCTTATAGTAATCCTTTAAAGGATCCCTTTAAAGGTACCCCTTTCGGAAACTCCCACACTGCACATTGTCATGGGGCTCAGTTGGGGGTGAAAGTCACCCACCCAGAGACTCCAAAACC